ACACACACACACACCAATCTCAGAATCACAAAACCAACCAAACTTGCTGCCATTGAGTCAATGCCAACTCCCTGCAATCACCTGGGTTTCTGAGACTGTAACTCTTTACCAAGGTAGCAAGGCCATTCTTTCTGTGGCCAGAATCCCATGTCCTCCTTACAAGTACTTCCCAAATTCAGTGTGAATCGGACCAATTGAAGCAAAGTTGTTTTCGTACAATAAAGTTCAGAACACATTCTTTATAGAAAGCGAGCCCTAGGTCATGGGAAAACCTCTGTCTTAACTAATGAAACAAGGAAGCAAATCTGGACCAAAGCAAAATGCATAACACATTTGTATTTGCTGCCTAGATGTTCACATCCACATTAACTGTCCCCCATACAAGCTCGTGAATTCTGCTCACAAGCCCATAAACTCTCAGTGGGGGTGGGCTAACAGCCCCTTAACCAGGCACCTGAATTTCCCCTTTGCTGTCATCCTCAATAAGTGCAGCTAATCACTAACACAGGCTAGAGAAAGGAACCTCCAAACACAAACAAACAAACAAAGGAAGGGCGGGCTTGGGGGAGCTGTGTAGAAGAGAGAGAGAAAGAAATTGAGTGAGAGAAACGTCAGAAGTACCCGTTGGGCTTAAAGACACTGGCTCTGCGGGGCAGGTAAGGGGGACAACTAGCCTCCATCTTGTGCCAAAGCTTGGACTGCTGAAGCTTGAAAAGGGGGGGGAAAAACCACCCACAGTTTAAATGCACAACAAATAGAGCAGACAACGCAACCAACAAATAATTGTATGGCATAGAAAAAGGCAAAGGTTGGGATGCATTCAATAATCCACTTTTGATCAATTAATGTCATTGTTTATTTAATCTCCAAATTCCATCCCACAGGGCCGGCGTGAGCACCGCATTTCCTTTCAACAGCCGGCCTCCGAGGAAGCCTTGCCCAGCCCCCTGGCCATGTATCCCTTCTCTAAGCCCGGTTTTGCTTTTGTGCTCATGGTTACGTCCACAGCGGCCGTATGCGGCTTCGGGCTGTCTGACTCTCTCGACAGAATTTATGTGTTTTTCTACTTCCTTTCCTTATTAGGAGGCAGGGATCGGCGACACCTATTCCAGCAAGTCTGCATAAAGGGTAATGACCATGCAATTTATTAGTGGTCTGTTCTTCCTCAAATGAGCCTGGAGCCTCCCGCTCAGCGAGGGCTCAGGCCCCTGTTGGAAACGCCTCCGCTTTCCCGGCAGCAGGTGGGCAAAGGCGGCATTCACCAGGGGGGTGCAGGAAGATGCTGGCCCTTGGAAAAGCGATTTCTTTCTTCCATATGAAGGCATAGAAAAGGGAATGTCGTATCAATGGTTTGAAGGGAATTCAAAGGACGCATTCTTTGCCCGGAGTCCTTGCTGCTAACGCAAAGTCTGGAGGTTCAAGTCCACCCGGAAGTGCGAGGAAAAGTGGGGTGATCTACTTCTGAAATTAATAGTCCAGGAACAGCTCTTCAGAGCATCGTTCTCTGACACATACGGGGTCATGAAGAGTGAGAAGTACCTTGACAGGTAACTCCTATTCGCCGATTAAGATGAACAAGCCGGACAACGAATGTACTAGTACGTGCTGCGAAGGTTTTCATCAGTTCAATAGTGGGCGGGGGAAGTGCCAAACATTTTGTTTTCTTAAAACGGGATGTGAGCAAACTTTAAAGAAAGTTTCCTAAGTAAGTGCGGGAAGTCATTGTCTGTTTAGAGAGTCCCCAGGAAGGGATGATTGAAAAGCTGAGAGTGACCTACAGCCGTCCCCTGGGCTGGCCCTCGCTCTAATAAACCTTTAAACAGGGAGGCAGGAAAGAGGTTTCGGACCATACTAAAATCCAAATCACCAGCAGGGATAACACCAGCCTTGAGAAATTCACACCCTCCCTTTCAGCCACCACGCTGAGGTCTGGGGTCCAGACGGAAAGTGCAGGAGAAGAAAATGACCAGAGCCAAGTGCATTTTCTGTTATCCTTACATATATGTTCAAGCAAATGCAACGCATATGTTTTCCATTAATTCCCTAACTCATCAAAATGCTTTGAGCGAGCCATGTGTCGTCCACCAAGCCCGCAGCATCATTCTTCCTCCAGGCAGGAAGTCCTTCCGGGCCTGGAGGTGGATTCTAGCCTCTGAAGAGCCAAATTCAAATTGAAACTCAGTGTCTCAAGAGGGGAGTAGACTCATTTGGAAAAATGGACTTGGCCTTGTGAAGAATGATTCTAGGATTAAAGAGGCAAATTTTACTTATGGAGATTTTGGAGTGAGGGTGATTATTGGGGGTCAGCCATGGACCAGTGTCTCTGGAGCTTCTGGGCACTACCCCATACTGTGCAGTGATGAAAGTACTTCCGCTATGCTCTGACTAGCATATCGCTGCTGTTAGTTGCTCCTGCTTTTGCTCCATGGTGGACGGAGGCCTGGCAGAATGAAATGCTGCCTTCTCTCCTGCCTGATCTTCGAGGTCATTGGCAGGCTTCAGTCCCCAGTTGAGGTGGCTGTGTGTTCTGAGTGTCTTCCAGCCTAGATGCCTCCTCTCCCAGCACTGCATCCTAGGGCAGGCATCCATTGTGATCCATGGGGTTTTGTTGGGCTCATTTTGGGGACTAGATCACCAGGTCTTTCTTCCTTATCTGCCTTAGTCTGTTAACTTCTCTGACACCTACCCATTATGAATGCCACCGCTGATGGAATTTTAAATACTGGTTGCACAGCCTCCAAGCCACAACACAATCACAAATGGACAGAGAGATGGTAATATCAATGTGTTGAATGTAAGTTAGAATTTCTCCACCATTAATTCAGCTTTTCTTACAAACTGTCAGTATTGTTCTTCTCCATTACAGTCATTTATGATTTTCTACCTTACAGATGGCTCATTTCACACATCCCTAGCAAAGTCACAGGAACTCCCTATGAGGTGCCTGATGAATGTTGACTTGAACAGACGTGTCATGTATTTTCAGTGTATTAATCACATGACAGGAGCCTTGGTCACATTGTGGGTTATGCTCAGGGTTGCCAACCTCCTGGCCTGCAGTTTGAACCTACCAGCCATTCCAAGGGTGAAATAGGAGGTTTTCTGCTCTCGTCAGGCTCAGAGACACAAAGGGAAGTTCTATTCTGACATAAAGCGACGGAATCAGAAATGCCTCAATGGCTGGGGGTTTACCACATAGGGAGGCACGCTGATGTTACAAAGGTTAAATGTTTGGCTGCTAGCCAAAAGGCTAGAGAACCAAACCCACCCAACAGCTCCATAAGAGAAAGGCTCCCCCCCAAATTCCAGCCGAGAATTTCCCTTTGAAGAAGTTCTGCTTGATCTCTTAGGTTCTCCATGAGTTCAAAGCCAAATCCATGCACCCACCGACAGCAACCCCAAGAAGCACACGACATAGCCCGACTACTGCCAAGTACCATGCTTGCTTATGAACATTGGAGACTAGGAATTCTATACAGAGAAATTAAAAATGTTACAGAGAAGAAAAACCTATGATTTGGATTCATAGGTAGGAATTTAAAACTCAAAGACTGGTTGGCACACAAATGACTCCCCGACTTCCATTGCCAGTCATGTAACTTTGCTGTGCACACACTGCAGTCAGAAAGAGAAGGGGGCTTCGTTCAGGGTTAGTCCAGAGCCAGAGCAGAAGGAGAGCACTTCATTACAGTCCCCCTGACACGTTCACCCCAAACTGCATGAATTTCTCACTGAGCAGCAAATGAGGCCCCTGTTTGGGTTTCTGGCTAAGCTGCTGGCTTCTTTTCATGTTTTGCTCAGTCATTTGAAGGAGGCTAGCCAAAGTTGCTAATTAAAGAGGGCATGATTTATTTCATAACTTTTCTTTTCCCTTCAGGAAACATAACTCAACTCCAGGCACATCATGTTTGCCTTTATTACACCCACCTCATTAATAGTTAATTAGGAAAACAAAAAGCCCTGTGACAGAACCTCTGGGCAGAAAAACGATCGGCCCCTTGACCCAGAGTGCACCGCCACTTGGTCTGATGTTAATTTATGGTGTTGCTGTGGCTACTGACTGAAAGATCAATGGTTCGAACCGACCAGCTGCTCCATAGAAGAGAGAAGTGACACTCTCCTTCCATAAGGTTTACAGCTGTGGAAACCCTGTGGGGGAGTTTGAAGTGATTGACTTGATGGCAGTGGGTTGGGTTTGGATGTGAATTTATGGCCCCTGCCCCTGTGCCCAACACAGACTGAGACATGGCATTATTCTGCAGGCTCCAGATCAAATACTGCCCAGCACTGCTCTCCTGGAGGTAATGATGCATGACCTTTTACCTTGTGAAGTGGGAAGATATCTGTCTTAAACTTCTTACAGAATTATTATATATAAAAATACACACACATATGGAAACATTAAAATATTATGAGCAACACAATCTAGAGATTGATAGTTCACCTTCAATGCATATGTCTCTCCAACCATGGGCATATCACCAAAGTTTAATATTCAAGAACAGAATACTTTCCCCCCTGTCTTTGAAAGAGAAGACCCACATGCTGACTGCACCTTTCCATATATAAATATTAACTGGAGGAGAGCCAGATCATGCCAGTGCCTCTGTTTTGCTATATATGGCAAATCAACTCATTGGTGCATGCAAAAGACAAATGTGTGAGCACATTCACAGGACCTTGGAACTCCTAAACATCCCACTCACACTGAACTGAATCCATACCTAAGTTAGTATGATTGTCTAAAACTTCAGGGTCCACAGAACCCCCCCCCCCAGAAGGTCTTGTTGGAATGCAGCTTCTGCTAGCTCCCGGAAGAAACGTGAGGAAGCTGTATTTCTAACTCTGGGCATCTGGCTCTGTAGGATGCTGACACTGCTGGTGGTCCATAGACCACACGCTGAGCAACAAGGGGCTAGGAAACATCACCCACCTTCTGCGATTGGAGAGAGCATCTGCTAGCACTGGTGTCAAAAGATATAAAAACTGTGTTGCAGTAGGCATTATATTCTTATTCCCATAAAAAATCTCCAAAGGAAGGATTGGCAGACTTTTTTTCTCTCAAGTAAATATTTCAGGTTTTGCAAGCCATTTAATCCTCTTGCAACTCCTAAACTTTGGTATTGTAGCATAAAAATAGTTTGAAAATATGTAAACAAAGATGAGTAGCTGTATTCCAATAAAACATTGTTGTTGTTTTTTGTTTTACTAAATTTTTTTTCTAATCATTTTATTAGGGGCTCATACAACTCTTATCACAATCCATGCATACATCAATTGTGTAAAGCACATTTGTACATTCATTGCCCTCATCATTCTCAAAACATTTCCTCTCCACTTAAACCCCCAGCATTAGGTCCTCATTTTTCCCCTCCCTCCCCACTGCCCCTTCCCTCACGAGCCCTTGATAATTTATAAATTATTATTTTGTCATATCCTGCCCTGTCCAACGTCTCCCTTCACCCACTGTTTTTAAAACTAAGTGATGGGCAGGATTTGGCCCAAGGGACCATAGTTTACCAACTTCTCTGGAATAGTGGCTATCAAGCTTTGTGAATGCACCGCTGGCGCAGTGCCTCTCTGAGATACATAAAGAATCGGTACATGATGCTCTATTATACTAGCATAAACATGAATCACACCAAAAATTGATGAAAGAACTCTAAGCTTTCTATGTACATCTATCCTTCAGGTATTTTCCCCTTGTTCTGAGCATGCATGCTTACCTTAGGAATCAGTGATGAAGATTTAATTTTTTCTTTCTCTCAACAAAGATGGCTGTTTCAGTAAGAGCAGTCCAAGGAATTCAGATGGTCCTTGGAATTCTAGAACAGAAAGTACCCATCAAACATATTGAGGTCTGATAGCAAGCAAGCTGGAGGGAAGCACTGAAAAGAATTTTCTTCAAATCAATAGGGTGACTTCATCACTCTGCTCCATTGGGATTTGTATAAGAATTGGCCTACCAGATGCTGAACTAGGCATTGTAAAGGTAGCATCTCATGTAAGACCCACATGGTCATATGAGGCAGCAACAATTATTTCCATTTAACCAAAGAAGGAAAGGAAACTCAGAGGCTGGTTACAAGGGAATATAGTTCTTTTTCTATTATTTGGTTGTTGTT